TACATGGCAGTTATTAGAAACAGCAGTTCAAACAGCATAAGGGACACGGTTCTTGCCAGTGCCGAGCAAGGTCGCCCAGTTACGTGCCTAGTTTACAGTCTACTGCTTCCATGGGCTGCAGCGGTGGCACGTGAATTGCAAATCCCGAGTGCTCTTCTGTGGATTCAACCAACCACTGTATTGGATATATACTACTATTATTTCAATGGCTATGGTGAAGAAATCAATAATTCCTCCGACGATCCTTCCTGGACAATCCAGCTGCCTGGACTTCCGTTGCTAGCTAAACGTGATCTTCCCTCCTTTGTGCTTCCTCCGAGTAGCGATCACAAAGTCTTTGCACTTTCAACATGTAAGGAGCATCTAGAAATGTTAGATGCAGAAACAAAGCCGAAAGTTCTTGTGAATACGTTTGATGCGCTTCAGGCTGATGCACTTAAAGCGATTGAAGATTATGAGTTAATCGGAATTGGACCTTTAATTCCTTCAGCTTTCTTGGATGGTAAAGATCCATCGGATAAGGACGTTGGTGGAGATCTTTTTAATAAATCGGAGGATTATTTGCAATGGTTGAACTCCATGCCTGAATCTTCTGTGATTTATGTATCATTTGGGACTCTTCTAAGGCTCCCAAAAGTTCAAATGGAGGAGATCGCTAAAGGATTACTCGAGTGTGGACGACCCTTTTTGTGGGTCATACGAGTAAACGAAAACTCAGAAGAAGAAAAAGACGACAATAAACCAAGTCGTTTGGAAGAACTGGAAAAACTGGGAAATATAGTACCATGGTGTTCTCAACTTGAGGTCCTAACTCACCCTTCGTTGGGTTGTTTCGTGACTCATTGTGGATGGAATTCGACTTTGGAGTGTATAGCATGTGGTGTTCCCGTGGTGGCGTTTCCCCAGTGGGCTGATCAAGGGACCAATGCAAAGCTGATACAAGATGTGTGGAGAACAGGCTTAAGGGTGAACCCGAGAGAAGATGGCATCGTTGAGAGCTACGAGATCAAAAGGTGCATTGAAACGATAATGGGTGATGGAGAAAAAAGTGGAGAATTGAGAGAGAATGCTTGGAAATGGAAAAATTCTGCTAGAGAAGCTATGCAGGAGGATGGATCTTCCACTAAGAACTTAAAGGTCTTTGTTGAGGAGCTTGTAGATTATTGTTAAGTAGAGAACTTACCGTTGGGTTTAATTTATTTTTAGTTTCAGATCGTTCCTCTTGGCAGTTTCTACACCTGTCACCACTGAATAAAAGTTATTTGATTTATAATTTTTATTAAAATCATACATTGACTTTAATTACAGATGTAAAATTATTTATTACTATAGTATTTACACATTTTGTGGGATTTTTTACTCTTTTTTTTAACTATTTTTATTTGTAAATCATTTATAAATTCATCAAATGGAAACTCAACATTTTCGTGTTTTCATCTTTTAGATATTTTTTATTTTTATTTTTAATGGGAAAATATTTCATTCATGAAGGCAAAAAATCTTAAGAAAGGGTACTGTAGTGTTTATCAATGAAAATTAAATTTTCAATAAAAAAAGGAACACTATGTCATTAGAGGAACATGTCTTCAAGGGATCATGCGTGTCGCGCCAGGGAGTGTGCTGCTTGGTTACACAATCTGTTGCAGTGTTGAAAGTTACATTGAGGAAATCTCTGCATTAATCCCTTTATTTTGGCTACTTGAGAACGGATTGATGCTGAGGACGAACTTGACTTATTGATTTCATTGACAAGGAACAAACAATCACTTTCCATCATTAAGTGAGATATTCCAAGGTTAAGGCACGGTTGTAGACCTCTCACAAGTGCCTCAACTTCAATGTGTTCCAGTTCTAAGATTGTGTTTCCAAGACCACTAGCTATCATATATTTGAATGAAGAATCTTGTTTAATTGATTCTGAAAATCTGGAGAAAAATGAATGTACAAGTCTCTATAAATAGTGGCAAGTATTGGCGCCAAAATGAAAATGAGCTGGACTAACTAACTAACCAAACAAGTGCCAGCTGGTTAACTACCTAAATAAATTTGAGCTATGTACAATACGTTTATATACAATTCTTAATACTCCCCCTCAAGATTGACGGTAAATGTTTTTAACCTACATCTTGGAAAGTAAAGAACAAATGCTGGAAGTGGTTTAGTAAAGATATCAACAAGTTGATGTCTGGACCGAATTGGGAGCAGCTTTATAACAACTGTGACTTTATCTCGAACAAAATGGCAATCGATTTCAATGTGTTTTGTTCGTTCATGAAACACTGGGTTGTTTGCAATTTGGATGGCAGCTTGGTTGTCACAAAACAAAATAGCTGGACTAACTGGACAAGCTTGAAAATCCTTGAGCAATTGATGAATCCATACAATTTCACTGATGGTGGCAGCTATAGCTCTCTACTCCGCTTCAACTGAAGAGCGGGACACCGTGGTTTGCTGTTTAGCTCGCCAAGCAATTAATGATTCTCCAAGAAAAATGCAGAACCCAGTGGTGGATTTCCTTGTGTCCAAGCAAGACCCCCAATCAGCATTCGAAAAGGCTCGAATCTTGAGAGGTACTTGCGAATCAGATGGTGTAAGAAGTAGCAGGCCTTGACCAAGAGTGCCTTTCAAATAACGAATAAGCAATCTAGGTTGTAGTACATATTGACTTAGCTTGTGGATAGCAAAAGTGATGTCCGGTCGAGATATTGTTAGTTAAATCAGTTTCCCGATCAGCCTATGGTAATGAGTAGCATCTATTAGAAGATCACCTTCATGAATGCTTAAAGATACTTTAGGATCTATAGGAGTAGCTACTGACTTGCAATCAGGTATCCTGAGTCTTCAATTAGCTGCAGAGCATAATATCTCTGTGATATGAAGATTCTAGAGTTGGAACGAGCAACTTCAATGCCCAAGAAGTATCTCAACTGTCCTAGATCCTTGAGTTTGAACTGTGAATGCAAAAACTTCTTTAGTGAATCTATGACTTGGATATTTGGTCATGTGATAACAATGTCGTCGACATACACAAGTAAAGCCACAAATTTATCCCCAAAGCCTTTAGTTAATAAAGAATAGTCAGCCTTCGATTGAGTGAAACCATACTGAATAAGAGCCTGGGTAAATTTTGAATTCCACTGTCTAGATGCCTGCTTGAAACCATAAATTGATTTATGCAATTTACAAACAAGTTTTTCTCCCTTTTTGCCAGCAGTGTGAACTTCATACCCGGGTGGAAGATCCATATACACCTCTTCGAACAAGCCACCATTTAAGAAGGCATTATTTACGTCCAATTGGAACAAATGCCATCCTCGAGAGGCTACAAGAGCTAATAACACTTTGACAGTGACGATCTTTGCTACTGGAGAGAAGGTATCAAAGTAGTCCAAGCCCTCTTGTTGGGTGTATCCTTTGGCTACAAGACGGGCTTTGTGTCTTTCAATAGAGCCATCAAAATTATATTTAATCTTGAAGACCCACCTGCATCCAATGGAATTTTTGCCAATTGGTAATGAAGTCACTGACGATGTGTGATTTGATTCCATGGCTGCCAACTCAACCTTTATAGCTTCACGCCATTCTAGATGTTTAATTGCTTGATGGAAATATTGTGGCTCAACCTGAGATGATACATTTAACACAAATTGTAGGTGATTGTCAGATAATCTATTGTATGACAAGAAATTTCCAATATGATGAGAGGAATGGATATGAAGCTTTTCGTGAGCAAGAAGATTGCAATGATAGTATTTTGGGGTTCTAATGATTCTTTGGGAACGTCTTGTGTTATTGTTTAAAGTGGTTTGATCTGTAGGTATTATATCAATGTGGGAATTATTTCCTGAATCGGAAATATTATGATTTGATAGTAGATCAAGAGGTAGTGTAATAGGGAGTGATAGATCTGTTTGAGGTAGAGTTTGAGCATCATCAATATGCAGTATGTTTGGTTTATATTGATTTAAGGAGTCATGTATATCTGGAAGGATATATAAACTTGGTATTGGTAAGACCAAGTCAGGAAATGGGTCGATTAACTGGTCAGCTGTTGTGATAGTATGAAAAGGAAATATTTCTTCATCACATACAACATCACGAGATAAGAAAATCTGTTTTGATTGAACATCATAAAACTTGTAGCCTTTGACTCCAGATTGATACCCCAATAGCACACACATTCTGGCCCGTGGCTAAAACTTTGTTCTATGTGCAGTTAATGTAGATGTAAAGGCTAAGCATCCAAAGACTCTAAGAAATGAGTAATCAGCAGACTTTCCATGCAGAACTTCATATGGTGTTTTATGCTTCAAAATAGGGGATGGAACTCTATTTATCAAGAATGTAACCGTTAAAACACATTCAGACCAGAATTTGATAGGGACTCATGACTGGAAATATAAAGATCTGGCCACATTTAATAAGTGATGGTGTTTGCGTTCAACCACAGAGAATGATGAAGTGCATAAGGGATTAGAGTTCATGGCAAGATGGGACCATCACAAGGCAAAAGTTGGCAAAAAGGGGCAAATGATTTCATGATGACTTTGGGTTTGCTCGTTTTTGGCAAATCGCTAGTCTAATTTGATTGGAGTCGAGCCAAGGAATAAAACTCAACGCCTTTGGCCCTGACGCAAGGCCAATTCCGGGCAAAATCCATCGTTTAGGCCCTCGTTTAATCTTCTTGCTATTTATGATAATTTTCATTTTTGCAATATCTCTTTCCATGAAATTCGGATTTAAATTCCGTTTGTTGGAGGATGATCCTAAAGATAAGTATTTTCCATTTTTGGAAAAAAAATATATTTATTTTATTTTATTTTATTTTCCGGATTCTCCTAGGTTTTTCTTCTATTTAATCAGTTATAAGCCCTTAGAGGAAGCAGTTCTTGAATTCAATAAAATCTTCCTTGAAAATTTTCTCAATTTATGATTATTCATCTTCCCTATAATATTTTCGCTACGTCAGTTGGTATCAAAGCCAAAATCGTTCCTTCACCATGCCGTCAAGGAGACGTCCTGAAGCCCGTGATGCCCCAGTAGAGGAGGTACATAGACGTGATGAAGTCGCACAGCTACGTCAACAAGTGGAATTGTTGACGCGGCAGATCGCTGCGCTTATGCCGCAGCAGCCTACGCCTACGGGTCAACAGCTTGGGGATTTCGATAATGAGAATCCATTTGCACTGCTTGAACAGCCATTGGATCTGCCAGTTCACCGGAGAAGGGGTGGTCAGGAAGACAACCGACGTTGGGAATCAGGATTTAAGGTGGATATTCCAGAATTTCATGGTGGGTTGAGTCCAGAGGAATTCTTGGATTGGGTGACTGCAGTGAAGAAGGTCTTGGAGTTTAAAGAGGTTCATGCCGATAAATGTGTGCCTCTCGTTGCAACGAGGCTTCGTGGGCGAGCAGCCGCGTGGTGGCAACAGACTAAGGTGACAAGATCGAGGCTAGGGAAACCTAAGCTTGCATCGTGGGACAAATTGAAGAAACAATTTCTGCCTTACAATTATGTACGGACCATGTACCAACAACTGCAGAATCTGCGTCAAGGTGGGAAAACGGTTAGTGACTATACCACGAATTTTTATATGTTGATTACGAGGAACGAGATGATGGAGACGGAGGAGCAGTTGGTGTCACGGTACGTGGGTGGTCTTCGTCCCCAAATACAGGATACTCTCAATATGTTTGATCCTATAACAGTTTCTGAAGCACATCAAAGGGCAATACAGATAGAGAAGCAATAGTCCAGGAAAACTACTAGTCCTTTCATTGTAGGGAGTTCTTCTAGTAACCCACAACAGCAGGTGGCACGTCTTGATAATCCTGCTCAATCTGGTCCTCCTAGAACAAATCCTGCCCAACAACCAACACGTCCTGTGGTTGGTATTCGTTGTTTTGGATGCGAAGTTACAGGCCACAGGCAGTCTGAGTGCCCAAAGAATCCGCGCAAGGGACTCTTTGTTGATGAGGGAAATGGCGATTATGAAGGTCCGCCTGTATTTGACGGTGAGGGCGGAGAAGAAGCAACAGAAGAAGAAGAGTTTGTGGTTGGTGATGTGGGTCAGGCACTGGTGGTGAGGAGGAATTTCCTGACTCCTTTGGAGAATAACACTGATTGGTTGCATAATAATATCTTTCAATCAACATGTACTGTTGGAGGGAAGGTGTGCAAATTTGTTATTGATTCTGGTAGTTGCGAGAATGTGGTAGCTGAGGAGGTCGTTAAGAAGCTGGGTTTGCAGACTGAGAAACATCCCAAACCTTATAAATTAGCCTGGCTGAAAAGAGGCAATGACGTAGAAGTGTCTCAACGTGCTAGAATCAGCTTCTCCATCGGACCTACCTACAAGGATCAGGTCTCATGTGATGTAGTAGAGATGGATGCATGTCATTTACTATTAGGGAGGCCGTGGCAGTTTGACAGGCACTCACTGCATGATGGATATACCAACACGTACAGCTTTCTGTTTGGGGGAAAGAAAATTGCGTTACTACCGGATAAGGGTTCAGTACAGGCAGTCGAGAACAATGCCAATTTACTGACCAGAAAGAAGTTCGAGACAGAGATGGAGGAGTCTGGGGTAGTGTATGTGCTGATTGGAAAGTCGATTGACAGTGAGCATGAAGTCCCTCTCGCAGTTCAGCCATTGCTAAAGGAGTTTCATGAAGTTTTCCCAGAAGAGCCTCCTGATGGACTACCACCACTGTGGGATATTCAGCATCAGATTGACTTGGTGCCTGGAGCTGCCCTACCTAACCGAGCGCATTACAGAATGAGCCCCACTGAGCATGAAGAGTTGCGCAGGCAAGTTGAGGAGCTTCTGGCAAAAGGACACATCAGGGAGAGTCTTAGTCCCTGTGTTGTTCCTGCTCTTCTCACACCGAAGAAGGATGGCACGTGGCGCATGTGCGTGGATAGTAGGGCAATCAATAAGATTACGGTGCATTACCGCTTTCCTATTCCCCACCTAGATGACTTATTGGATCAGCTTACCGGTGCTTGTGTGTTTAGCAAGCTTGATTTGAAGAGTGGGTACCATCAGATTCGGATCAGACGTGGGGATAAATGGAAGACCGCATTTAAGACGAGGGAAAGATTGTACGAGTGGTTAGTCATGCCCTTTGGCCTCTCAAATGCGCCCAGTACATTTATGCGGGTTATGAATCAAGCTCTTCGCCCATTCATCGGTAAATTTGTTGTGGTCTACTTTGATGATATTTTAATTTATAATGCTAGTGATGATGAACATGTTCGGCACCTTCGGGAAGTTCTTTCAGTTCTTCGCAGGGATAAATTCTATGCTGAAGTGAAGAAGTGTTCCTTTCTCACTGATAATGTGGCGTTCCTGGGTTATTGGTGTCGAAGGTGGGGTTAGCAGTTGATACATCTAAGGTAGAGGCGATAAGTTAATGGCCACAACCCAAGACTGTCACCGAGGTGCGGAGTTTTCATGGCCTTGCTTCCTTCTATCGCAGGTTTATATTGCATTTCAGTAGCATCATGGCACCAATTACAGATTACATGAAGGATGGTAGGTTTCAATGTACTCACGAGGCAGAGTCTTCTTTCCAATTTATTAAGCAGAAGTTGACTACTGCTCCAGTTTTGGTGTTGCCTGACTTTACCCAACCATTTGAGCTACATTGTGATGCTTCGAAAGTGGGTATTGGTGGTGTGCTGAGTCAGAACAACCGCCCTGTTGCATATTTCAGTGAGAAGCTTTCTGGCTCGAAGTCTCGGTATAAAACTTATGATGTGGAGTTCTATGCAATAGTCCAGGCCGTTCGACATTGGCGTCACTATTTGTTCCATAAGGAGTTCATTTTGTATACGGATCATGATGCCCTTAAGCACCTTGGTACTCAGGATAAGGTTTCTGCTAGACATGCCTCTTGGATTGCTTATCTACAGCAGTTTACTTTTGTGATCAAGCACAAGGCAGGTGCCCTTAATAAAATTGCAGATGCATTGAGTAGGCGCCAAACGCTCCTTACAGAAATGCAAGTGGAGGTTTCAGGTTTTGACAGGTTGTGTGACTTATATGCTACTGACCCATACTTTTCCCATGTTGTCCAGAAGTTGCAGAAGGGTGTGCAGTCGGAGTTTACATGGGTTGATGGTTTTCTTTTTCATGGCAATCAGTTGTGCGTTCCAGAGGGCAGTTTGAGGTTGAAGATCATTCAAGAGTTGCATAATGAGGGCCATGTAGGTCGTGACCGGACATTGCAGCTTGTTGTTGCTTCTTACTTTTGGCCATCATTGCGCAAAGATGTCAGCAAGTTTGTGGAGCGTTGTCGGGTTTGTCACTTGGCTAAGGCCAAAGCGACCAATGCGGGCTTGTATATGCCCCTACCTATCCCAACCCAGCCTTGGACAGATGTGAGCATGGATTTCGTTGTGGGACATCCCAAGACTCAGCGTGGTTTTGATTCAATCTTCGTAGTGGTTGATCGATTTTCAAAAATGGTACATTTCATCCCCTGCAAGAAGACTACAGATGCTGTCAATGTAGCCTTACTGTATTTTCGTGAAGTTTATCGCCTTCATGGACTGCCTACATCTATTGTGTCCGATCGGGATACTCGTTTCCTCAGCCACTTCTGGCGCAGCCTATGGCGCTCTGTAAATACACGGCTGGACTTCAGCAGTGCATATCACCCTCAAACAGATGGTCAAATAGAGGTTGTTAACCGTTCCTTAGGTGATTTACTACGTTGTTTGATTGGTGATCACATCAAGTCTTGGGATCAGAAGTTGTGTCAAGCAGAATTCGCTCACAATCATGCTGTTAACCGAAGTACAGGTTTTAGTCCGTTCCAGGTGGTGTATGGCCTTGTTCCTCGTGGTCCTCTTGATCTGGTTCCAGTTTCTACTTCTGTTAAAATGCATAGTAAGGCCGAAGACTTTATTCAACAACTACAGCAGGTTTACTCACAGGCTCATGATCAGCTGTAGGCTGCTGTCGCTGAGTATAAGCGTGCTGCGGATCTCAAACACCGACATGTTGAGTTTGAGGTAGGTGACTTTGTTTGGGCAGTGTTAACAAATGATCATGTTCCTGCTCATGAATACAACAAGCTTACTGCGAAGAAGATTGGTCCATTGGAGGTCATTGAGAATATCAATCCGAATGCTTATCGTTTAAAGCTGCCCAGCCATATTCGTACCTCCAACGTGTTCAATATCAAGCATTTGGTGCCATTTTATGGTGATAATTCTGATGATGATGATGAAGCTCCTTTCCCGTCAAATTCGAGGGCGAATTTTTCCCACCCTGGGGAGAATGATGAAGTGCATAAGGGATTAGAGTTCATGGCAAGATAAGACCATCACAAGGCAAAAGGGGGCAAATGATTTCATGATGACTTTGGGTTTGATCGTTTTGGCAAATCGCTAGTCTAATTTGACTGGAGTCGAGCCAATTTCGGGCAAAATCCATCGTTTAGGCCCTCGTTTAATCGTTTTTGCTATTTATAGTAATTTTCATTTTTGCAATATCTCTTTCCATGAAATTCGGATTTAGATTCCGTTTGTTGGAGGATGATCCTGAAGATAAGTATTTTCCATCTTAGTAATCATCTCATATTTTCCATTTTTGGAAAAAAATATCTTTATTTTATTTTATTTTATTTTATTTTCTGGATTCTCCTAGGTTTTTCTTCTATTTAATCAGTTGTAAGCCTTTAGAGGCAGCAGTTCTTGAATTCAATAAAATCTTCCTTGAGAATTTTCTCAATTTGTGATTGTTCATCTTCCCTATAATAGTTCCGCTACGTCAGTTTTGTTGTGGTCTTTCCACTCAACTATATTGATGTATGACTCCCTTTTCAGCAAAAAATTCAGTAAATGCTAGTGCACTAGCATTATCAGATCTGAACATTCTTATATTAGCATTGAATTAGGTATGTACCATGCTGAAAAATCTAGGAATGATGGTCTTAGCATCTGATTTATTCCTAAACAGATATATCCATGTAAATCTAGAACAATCATCTACTAAGGTCAGAAAATAATTGTGTCCAGAATGTGAGGTCACATGGTAAGGTCCCCATATATCACAATGTATAAGATCAAAGAGGTTGTTTGATAACCTGTTATTCAACTCAAAAGACAATCTCCTCTGTTAAGAAAGAGGACAAACATAGCAAGGCATCCGTTTGTCCGATTTTTTGACATCATATAACAATTGTTCATTCAAACATTCTAATCTTTTAAAAGAAAGATGACATAGCCTGTTATGCCATACATGGGTAGACACATTATTGACAAAAGTGATAGAAGTGAAATTCAAAATTCTTGTATCCAGAAAATATAGATCCTGCATTCGATCACCCCTGCCAATCATCCTCTTGGTTTTGGCATCCTGAATGATGAATCCATCATGAAAGAAACATAATGAGAATTGAGAATCAGTGGTCAATGCACTAACCGACAACAGATTGAACTTGAACTGTGGGATAAATAATACATCACGCAGCACAAGTCTTGAATTTAATCTGATATCCCCACACAATTTAACCGGAATTTATACATGACTGGGTAAGGTCACATTTGAATCTTCAATAAGTCTCATGTTTATGAATGCATTATCAATGGAGCATACATGTTTAGTAGCTCCTGAGTCCACTATTCAGATTTCTTTAAAAGCAAAAATAGGATCAGCTGAAATAGAGTAGCTAATACCTACATTATATAATGCAGTACTGGTATCGTGACGACCAGAAACTGTTGTACTTGAACTTGATGCCAGGTGTGTAGATAGCATGGACATCGATTGTTGATATTGATCAGAACTCAAGTTCTGAACGAAGTTTCCAATACCAAACTGCTATGGACTATTCAGCTTACCTTCATTATGTGCCCGCAATGGTATGGAAAATTGATTTATTGGATTAAATCTGGAGAAATTGTTGTTGTAAGATCCCGATCTTTTTTTGTAACTAGAAGGATATCCATTAATTTTATAGCATTTATCAATTGAGTGTCCATGAATATTGCAATGTGTGCAATAAGATCTCTCTTTCTTCTTAATATTTGCAGTCTTAGATCCTGATGCAATTGATGTCCTCATCGATTCAGATTTAAAGGCAAATGTAGGTGCTCCAGTTAGATCATTCCCATTAACCATTTGTGTGCCAATCGTTCTCTGATTTTCTTCTTGTGAGATCAAAGCAAATACTTTATTTATTGGAGGTAGAGGATCCATCATAGCAACTGTCCTATGATTTGAGAAAACGAATAACGAAGTTCCATGAGGAAGGATATTATATACTCCATTTGATAATGTTTATCCAGTTCTTTCACTCCTCCACAAGTACATTTTCCACAAGTACATGCAGGACGATAATTGGCTAATTCTTCCCAAATAGTTTTGAGCTTGGTGAAGTATATACTTACAGTATCCTGATCTTGTGCGAAGTTCATCAGATCTCGCTTCAATTGAAAGATTCTTGGACCATTCTTCTGCTGAAATCTATTTTTGAGATCATTCCAGATCTTATATGCTGAAGTGGCATATATTATACTGCCTGAAATCTTCTTTGAAATTGAATTGAAGATCCAAGATATAACCATATTGTTATTTCGAATCCAAAAATTGATTAGATCTGAGTTTGTACCTTCTGGTTTAGTAATGGTTCCATTAACAAAATCGAGTTTATTCTTTACCGATAATGCAATCGCCATTGCACGGCTCCAAGAGGCATAGTTTTCTCCCGTGAGCTGTTGAGACACAAGCATCAATCCTGGACTATCGGAGTGATGAAGAAAATAAGGACTTGAAGATTCATCAACTACCGATTTGCTTGTGTTTGATTGTGCAGCGGAATTGTTCCCAGGTTCCATCGATTCCATATCAGATTGTATGTAGTTAGACTTCAATTATAAGATTAAGATGAAATGGAGTATATTGCAGAATAGAGCTCTGATACCATATCAGATATTTGAATGAAGAATCTTGTTTTATTGTTTCTGAAAATCTGGAGAAAAATGAACATACAAGTCTCTATAAATAGTGGCAAGTATTGGTGCCAAAATGAAAATGAGCTGGACTAACTAACTAACTAAACAAGTGCCAGCTTGTTAACTACCTAACTAAAATTGAGCTATTTACTACTTTATATACAATTCCTAATACTAGCAGCCAAAATTGTTTCTCCCACGTGATCTCGTAAAATGATTCCAATCCCAACCTTAATTTGAGTCAAAGAATAGCGCGCCATTAGTATTTAGTTCAAACGCTTTCTTAGGTGGTGAGGACCACCTATATTTGTGGTAAGGTGATCCAAGGGAAAAGTTGAGGGGTGGAACTATTTCAAAAGTGAGTTTTTTTGGCTAAAGTGGGAGCAATTACTTCTTGCGGTGGAAGGTTCAGCTGGTCATGAACCATTTTGTTTTGACGAATCCCAAAACTCCAAGTGATGAGTATAAATTATGAGAGAGCATCCTTTGAGTCTTTTGCCATTATATCCATAGCTGCTTGCATCAAATCTCCCAGATAATCATTATTCTGTAGCGCTGGAAACCGACTGGTTAGAAGTTGGCGAGTAGAAGGGTAGTTGAGTAGAACATGGCATAGGTCTTCTATTTGGTAGTCGCAAAAATAGCATTGAGTGGCAATAGATATTCCTCTTCAAATCAGGTTTTGTTTTGAGGGCAAGCTTTCTTGGCAAGCTCTCCAAGCAAATTTTTTTTACCTTTTGGGGTATCTTTAGACGCCAAACAATATCCCAAATTTTCTTTCTTTCAGCCGCATTTGAGGAGCTGCCACGATCTGGCGTTAGACAATTCTTGAAGAATCTATATGCATTGCTAACAGAATAAATTCCGATTTTTTCATGTTCCCATGACCAGTAATCTTTTTCTCCCAAGGGGTTTGGGTGCAATTTTAGTATCGCCTTAACAATTTTTGGATTGAATAGAGCCCTAAGCTTTCAAATTCCACCACTTCAAGTTTGGATCAATCAATGAAGCCACTGGACTTTCAAGTTGTTGATTGTGATGTTGTTGAAAATTGATTCCCAACTCCCTCCTTAGATTTTTCACTCCTGGGATCCAGTTATCATTTAGAATGTGTATAGCGTTACCATCTCCAACAACCCATCTTCCCCCTTGTATCAATAAATTTTTAGCCTCCCAGATTCTACGCTAAGCATAAGAGGGATTACCACCAATAGATGCTTTAAGAATGTTCCATCCAGGGAAGTAACGGGCTGAGAATATTTTGTGAACTAAGCTGTCAACGTGTTGCAATAGCCTCCAAGCTTGTTTTCCAAGCATAGCCATGTTGAAGATTCCCAACTCCTTGAAGCCCATTCCTCCCATAGATTTCGATGTATACATTGTATTCCAGGATTGCCGATGGATTTTCTGTCCCTCCTTTCTTTGGCCCCACCAAAATCTAGCCATCATCCTTTCAATTTTAATGCATAATGTGGAGGGTAGTTTGAAGCAACTCATAGCAAAGAAGGGGATCGCTAAAGCCACTGATTTTAGGAGGACTTCTCTTCCTGCTTGGGAAAACATACCACTCTTACAACTTTGTATCACCCAAACTTTATGTCTTATTTCATTGAAGGCTCGCTTTCTGGATCTACCAATCATAGGTGGTAATCCCAGATACTTTTCATATTGTTGTATTTGAGGAGCATTCCATAGAGCCATAATTTCTTACTACTTGTCTGGCTTTACATTTGCACTAAAGACCATAGAGGTTTTATCTCTATTCAATTGTTGACCCGAGGCATCTTCATAGCTACTAAGGAGAGCTTGTAGTCAAGTAGTAGTTTCTTCATTTGCTTCACTGAATATCAGGTTGTCATCCGCAAAGAGAAATTGATTCAAACTTAGAGCTTCTCTACACACTTGAATACCATTCACCATTTTATTCCTTTCCGCCACATTCAATAAGCTAGTTAATCTTTCGGTACATAAGAGAAGTAGATAAGGCGATATTTGATCCCCTTGCCTCAACCCCCTTGATGGGATAATGCGACCCATGAGATAGCTATTGATGAGTGTCGAGAAAGAGGGAATAGTAATGCATGTCATCACCAGTCTGATAATTTTTCATGAAAGCCCAATTTGTGCATGGTCACCTCGAGAAAAGACCATTCAACTCTATCATACGCTTTGCTCATGTCAAGCTTGAGAGACATGTAGCCTTTCTTGCCCTTCTTTTTTCCTCGTAGGAAGTGAAGTACTTCGTAGGACACAAGCACATTATCTGTAATTAGATACCCTTTAGTGAAAGCTAACTGTGTCTCTGAAATCACCACAGGTAGTACTGTTCTTATCCTGTTAGCCACAACTTTTGACACCAATTTATACAGGACATTATAGAGACTAATTGGTCTGAAATCCTTGACGATCTGAGGATTTTTTTATCTTGGGAACAAGTGTAATAAAAGCATGGTTTACATTTCGAGGGAACTCATTGGTATTTAAAGCATGTAATAAAGCATTTTTAATAGAGGAACCAATATGCGGCCAAAAATTTTGATAGAAAATAGGAGGCATACCATCAAGACCTGGGGCTTTAGTCGGATGCATCTCTTTCAAAGCCTGGAAGACTTCGGTTGCTGTAAAAGGTTAGATCAGTTCATTGTTCTTTCAGGAGTTACTTTGCATTTCATGTTCTCCAAAATAGCTGCTTGATTCTTTGAACCTGTAGAAGTGAACAAATCAGAAAAGTATTGGATTATTATGTGGTTGCATGCCTCTCTCTCTTGCCAATTTCCTTGGTCATCAAAGATTCTTGTAATTGTATTTTTCCTTCTTTTTTGGGAAGCTTTTGCATGGAAGAAACGAGTGTTCTGGTCACCCTCTTCAAGCCAAGGAGCCCTAGACCTTTGTTTTCACGTAAGTTCTTCTCTATCCATCCAAGTTTGTACTTCTTCGGTGGCTTGTCGAAGATCATTTGAATTTATAGTTGTAGGATCCTGCTTTTGAATCTGCGCAAGCTTTTTTTAGCGTTGCTAAGTTTCACTTGCACTTTACCGAATTTGGATATATTCCAAGACTGGAGCTAATTGCTGCAACACCTAATATTTTCCAGATCCTAGGGGCTAGAATCGGACCATTTATCAAGTATAATATCAGTGCATGCCATTTCGCCAATCCAAATTGATTCGAATCAGAATGGTTTAGGTCTTTTGGGAGTTTGGTGATTAACGTAAAGCTGGACCTAAAGAGTCAGGTGATCTGAATATGCAGTGGAGCCATGAGTAACTGTAGATTCTGAAAAAAAAATTGACACCAGGAAGCATTGGCAGTGAAATGGTCAAGTCTTTAAAAAATCTGTGTTGAGTCATGCCTTCCATTGTACCAAGTGTGATGGGGCCCTTTAAAACTGAGATCTCTTAGTTCACAATCAAAGAGCATTTGTTGGAACCTTTCCAGTTGTTGTCGAGGTCTGTCTCGGCTGCCCCATTTCTCCTCATTAGATAAAATTTCATTGAAGTCGCCAAAGACAAGCCATGGCTCTGAAGGGTCCCTCTTCATACTCCACAATAGATTCCAGGTTTCCATACATATACTGGTATTGGGTAGCCATAGATGCCTGTTAAAAACCAGCTAGTGAGTCAATTTTTGCATCAATATGGCTTTTTGAGTAGCTGATGATAGTTAAGTGAACGTCAAGCTTCCATAGGTTTGTACTTCCTTCACTACGCCCCACTGCCTTCACATTAAAACAACCGTAGAACTTCATTTTTATTCGGCAAAATTTCATTTTTGTTGTGTTCATTTTTGTCTCTTACAAGAACAAAACATCGGGATCTTCCTTTCTGATGAGGTTAAAAAGAGCACGAATGCCACGAGGGTTACTAAACCCTCGTCCATTCCAGCTCAACAGTTTCATGGTGATCGGTGGGACTGAGTATCAGCCACCACCGAAATCTAGAAGTTGAAGCCGTAGTTCCAATCCTGGGATTTTTCTTTACTCTTCAGTCTTTTAGACGTTGGAATAGTTTTGCTTTTTTCAGATGAAGTGTCTAGAGATCTTTTGAGACTTTCTAGTGGAGAAGAGGTAATAGAGCTAAGTGCCTTTGTCTTATTCACCCTTTCCAACGTCTAGTGAGGCTGGCTAAATTTTATGGAATTGAATTCCCACTAGATTTGGATAATTCAAAGACAGGTTGTAAAATGACAGGAATATTCTTTGACGAATTTTCAGCAAATCTATTGTCATCTTTCATTACTTGCATT